CCTTGAGCAAGTTGCCTTGCCTCTCTGGCCCCCAGAGGCCCTGTCTGTGCTACAAGGGGTGGTGTCTGAGCGCCACTGAGTTTTGCCCGGGGTTGCTGGCTGATGTGATTCCCCAGAGGGGTACATGGCAGGGGCCCGGGTCAAGAGAGCAGGTCAGACCTGGCACCCTTCCCAGCCAGGGCGGGCGGCCGCCCCTGCAGCGCGCTGGGCACTCAGCGTCTGTTTCATGTTGAAGTTTATGAGAAGAGGCCGGCCTTTCTGGGAGGAGGCAGGGGGAAAGTGTGGGGGGTAGAGGAGCCTTTGTTCCGTCAAAAATTCCTCCTCCCTTTAGCCCTGCCTTCCTCTGTAAGCATAAACAGTGTTGGGATAAGTCCTTCCAGGAAGCGGCTTCGGCTTCTCGCTGCTGGGCTGAGAGAGCTGCCCGCTGGCCCGTCTTTCCCTCCCTGCATCATCTGCCTCTTCACCCCTGCCCTGCGGGTCACTTCTCCCCTCTGCCCGCAGGGGTGCAAAAGCCACCAGGCTGGGCTGAACAGAGGGGCTGGGGGTTTCAGCTTCGTGGTGGGGATCACTTAAGCGTGACAGACAGCAAAAGGAAGCCCAGGGTAGCCTTGTGGCAAAGCCTCACACGCCGGAAGCTGGAAGCTCTTCGGCAAGTCCTGGCCCTGCCCCATGCCTCTGTTTCACCATCTGTTAAATGGGTTGATGATATTCCTTACCCCACAGGATTATGGGAAGAGCTGAGTGGGAGGCTGACAGGCTGTGGTGGTGCCTCATTAGCGTCTGCCCTCGCTCTTCCCTCTGTTCTCTGCTAGCAGCCCCCTGCAGAGCTTCCGTGGTCTTCCTCTCTCTTTCTTGCTTCCTTTCTGAAAATTCTAGAAGGTGAAGACACCTAACGCAGTCCGTTTTTTTGCCTGCCATCTCCCCGGCCCCCAGGGATAGCAAGCCCACCTTCCACCCAGGCCCCCTCCCATCTTTGGAGCTTCCCTCCCGTGATTTCCACCTCCTGATCTCAGCCCCAGCCTCTGCCTCACCCAGAACGCAGCGGCTACCAGCTCCAGCAGAAAATCACCTTGCTGATGGTCAGGGAGCGCTTGCAATGCCCAGCCAGCCAGCCAACCCTGCAGCGGCATGAATGCCTCCCACCCTTCCAGCCGCGCAGAAGGGCGGGCCCCTACCATCCTCCCAGGTTTCCAGATGAGGAAACCAAGGCACAGAGAGGTTGAGTAACTGATGGAGGGTCCCCCAGATTGTCCCGGGCAGAGGCGGAAGGCCGTCACCGGAATCTGACTGTGACTTCTGTGCTGTGGGTCACGTCCCAAGCATGGGGGTGTCAGAGCAGGGCCCTCCCAGGGTGGGGACGGTGTGCTGAGGACCTCTGGTCCTGAAGGAGGCTGGGGCCCCCGTCCCTGGGCCCTGCCCAGCAGTTCACACTCCCTGATGGACGGCTCCAGAACGGCTGGTTTTCTAATTACACCGTGTGGTGTTGCTTCCCGACCCTCCCCTCACTCCTGCCTCTCATCTGCCGGCTTCTGTTTCTGGTGCCCACTCTGTATAATCTTTTTCGTGGGGGTTTCCTTCCTGTTCGTCTCTGAAGCAGAAACCCTTTGGGAACCAAATTGTCGACCCTGCCAGGGATTGTCACTCGGCTGGGTGCCTCCTCCCTCTGACCATCCCCCCCACCGCCCTTTGCCCCAGCTGCAGGGCCTATCCGTTTCGGAATCAAACAGTCCCCTTTCAGTCAAGGGGTCTCAAATCCTAACCCCTGGTGAGTCACTGAGTCACCCCAGGCCTACCTGTCATTCCCTTTTGAATGGAGGTGCCTTGGAGAATGGAGACACTAGGGAAAGAGTTTACGTAGTACTTTTTTCAGGATTATGAGGAAGGGGGGCCACAGAAGCTAGAGTGGCTTAGATGTTGACATTCTGGGCACCAGGCAGGAAAGGTAGCCCTGGGAGGGGTTAGAGGGCTTATCGCACACCCACTTGCTTGAGACCAACAGAGCTCAAAGTGCCTTCCGAGGCATAAGTTGACTCCTGCACTGCTGTGCGCCTGGAGCCTGGACGCTGAGGGCTCCACCTGGCATGACCAGCCTCTCTCCCCGACCTGCTAGTGCCGAGAGCCAGCCCTGTCTTAGCGCTCAGACTGAACCTCCTCCCCAGGATATCATGGCTGGCAGGAAGGCCAAGAAAGGTCCAAAAGACATTCGGCCACAGGCCCAAGAGATCAGGACAATATCCTTGTCACTTTCTAGATTTAGATTCACATACTCAGCACAGATGTCCCTTTTTAGTGTTTTGCTTGAAATTCTAGTAGGCTGTCACCAAGTGATGGTACTGGATCCCGGGAATAAGACATGATTCCCAGAGGCAGCAATGATCACTTTGTGTGCTGCTGTTGTTCTGTGTTCGTAAATCGTAATAATAACTAACACCACTATTTTATGTATCAGGCACTGTTCTAAGTGTTTCCTGTGTATTATCTCAGTTAATCCTCAGAACAGCCTTATATGGTAGTTCCTGTCATTATTCTTGTGAAGTAAATTGCCCAAGATCACAAAGCTAGGATTGGGATCCAAAGTCCGTGTGCTTAACCTTTATGCACTCCTTCGTACATGGGCAATTACCCAGAGGAACATTACTGTAGGAACAGATCACCTCGTAGAAAGCATAATGACACATGGGTTCCCGGAGGCTCTCGTTACAATGCAGATTCTAATTCAGTAGATGTAAGGCGAGGTCTGAGAGTCTGCATTTCTGACAAGCTCCCAGGGAATGCCGTGGACACAGTCTAGGACCCACACTTTGAAGAGTGCCGACGTAGAACCTGTGTTTAAGCCTGTCTCAGACCCGGAGCATGCAAGCCCCGAAGATACGATGTCAGTGTAGGGAGCCGCTGTTCGGAATGGAGAGGACCCTCCTTGGCCCCAGCTGATGGTCACCACTGAGATTTCTGGAGCAATGTGGTCATAGTTCTAGATGACATCTTCCATTTTCAAACACTGGGGTAACGAATCCAACTTTATAAAACACCGTGCTGCTTATACACAAGTGTTCATAGCAGTATTATTCATAATAGCCAAAGATTAGAAACAACCCACATGCCTGTCTTCTGATGACCAAGTAAATAAAACATGGCATAGCCATATGATGAGATATCATTTGGCAACAAAATGGAATAAAGTACTGATAGGTGCTACTACCTGGATGGAGGTTAAAAGCATTACACGGGGGTGCCTGGGTGGCTCAATGGGTTGGGCCTCTGCCTTCGGCTTGGGTCATAATCTCAGGGTCCCGGGATCGAGCCCCACATTGGGCTCTCTACTCAGCAGGGAGCCTGCAACCTCCCCCGCCTGCTTCTCTGCCTACTTGTGATCTCTGTCAAATAAATAAATAAAATCTTTAAAAAAAAAAAAAAAGCATTACACAGACAGAAGCCAGGCCCCACAGGACAATTGTTGTATGACTCTTCTGGATGGACTAGTTACAACAGAGAAATCTATAGACTGGTGGCTGCCCAGGGCTGGGGAAGGTGAGACGGTGGAGGTAGTCTGTCAAGTGACTGTTAATGGATACAGGGTTTCTTTCGGGGGAGTATGACAGAATGTTCTAAACTTTGCTTGTAGTGATGGTTGTTAGACTTGGTGAGTATCCTGAAACCCATTGAATTGTATACCTTACACGGGTGAAATGTGGGGTGTATGAGTCCTATCTCGCTAAAGCTGTTTAAAACAAAAAGGAAAAAAAAACACCATGCAGGAGAGAACCAGTCTCTTCAACAGGTGAAGTGCAGTTACAAATCAACAAGAAAAATAACAAACCCCAGCAGAAAAAAAAGATCACCAAGGACATACACCAAGACTCAGCAAAGGAAACACGACGGTTCTTAAATGCGTGGGGAATTCTCTGTTGTTCGTGATAAAAGACATACACATCAAAGCCACTCTGAGAAGATTTTCTACCTCTTAGATGGGCGACGGCGGAAACTTCCAGCAAGGAGATAGGACATTAAGTTGGTGCCCCTGCATTGTGGTGCGATGGAAGCTGGGACTAACTTGTCATTACCTTTCACAATTGAAAGTGCACGTACCCCGCAGTTTTGCTTCCGAGCATCTGTCCCGCAAATGTCCTCTCCCATGTGCAAAATGTGACACCCACCCCCCACACACCCACACAATTATTCATCATAGGGTTGTCTGTACACCCACCTGGAAGCTCTGTAATGGCACTGGGCAGACCCTGGAGCTCCTGGAGACTCCACACAGGTACAGCCATTAAACACGAGTCAATAGGACTGTGTGTCCTGATTCGGGGAGAAGATATACCATTACGTATCTTATAATAATAATAATATGCCCGAGCCAGATTATGAAGTCAAACAGGGAAGGCACAGAACCAATGCCTGGTGTGCCCATGGAGCGAGGGACAAGGATGCATGTGTGTCTGTGTGTGCTGAGTGGGTCTGTAAATGCAGAGCCCACCTCTGGGCTGGTGGGAAGGAAAGGGAGGTGGCCTCCAGAAGGGGAGCCGGTGGGCGGGCCCCTGGGGAGGGGAGACACCCCTTCGCTGTACTCCAGATTGCATACTTGTGCCCCTGTTGTCTCACCAACGACCATGCAGACCACACCTCCGGAGGGGACAGGGCATTCCAGAGATCACCTGTGTGCAGGTGCATGGAACTGCTAGCTGCCTTTTTATGCTGTGAGTCAGAGAAGTCATTCCTGGCCATGGTCTCATACTTTGTTCCCTGAAATCTAGAAAAGATGTGAATCGCCCACACCTCCTGTTCTCTGACTCCCTGTGTGGGTCTCCTAGCCTTGGGATTCCCGTGTGTGTGTGTGTCTGTGTGTGCACGCACGCTCTGAGGGTGGCCTTGGCATTCTCTGGGTGGGGGTGTAAAGTGCCTTACCCCCTGCCTGCACAGGGAAGACTGTGGGGATCCTGTGGGGACATCATTTTGGCCTGGTGGGCCCCAATGCCCTGTGTTTGCTTCCTGTCCTCTAGGCTCGCCCCAAAGGCGAGGGTCTGACCCCGTACCAGGGCAAAAAGCGCTGTTTCGGCGAGTACAAGTGTCCCAAGTGCAAGAGAAAATGGATGAGCGGGAACTCGTGGGCCAACATGGGGCAGGAGTGCATTAAGTGCCACATCAACGTGTATCCGCATAAGCAGGTGAGCGGGGCGGGGCTTGGGGGGAAGGAGGTGGTGGCCAGAGGGGCTCTCATGAGGGCCTGGGGGCTGACCTGGATCGTTAGTGGGCCTCAGCTTACACCTGCATGTGACAAGGATGAGACCAGACCTCTCCAAGCTGGCCCTTTGTTGGTCTCCTCTGAAATGGGAGTGAGAGGTCACCACTTCCCTGGGAAGGGAAGGAGGTTAAAGGGGCGAGTTCAGCAAGACTCTGAGACTGCAGACCCAGGCGAGTTCTGAAACTAATGAGCTCGGGGTGCTGCTGCAGGCTGAGCGGGAATGCGGGGGCAACAGCGTGCTGCGGAAAACACGTCTCCTTCGTTTGCTCACCCACAGCTCCAGTGTTCCAGGCACCACACGTGGGGCTGGTGGCCAAGGTGTATATGGACATGTTGGAGGGTGGGGGGTGGCAGACGTGGTGAGGCAGCTCGTCCCAGGGAGGATCCACTCACTGCAGGCTGCAAAGAGGAGGGCTGTTTACTCTGGGACCCAAAGGATGGGAGGAAGCCAGACCTGTCACAAGTGGGGGACAGCAATCTCAAGAAGACCATACAGCAGGTGCAAATGCCCTGTGGCCTTATGGACTTCGATGCTCAAGGCCCAAACCTCAGTGAAGTATCAGGAGAACTGAACAAGAGGGACGGGGTGGGAAGCTGAACGGGGTGGGAAGCTGAATGGGGTGCTTCCCAGCCTTGGGGGCCACTCAAAACCCACAAGCAATAGAGCTTTCCGCTTTATTTTGAGATGACTCTTCTGATGTATGCCGAGACTAGTCGTGGTATAGCTGGGTGGTCAAAAGTGAGGAGACCAGTGGAAAAGTCATGGCTATAGTCCCATGTGTGCTGGGAAGAGGGGTGGCCTTGGACCTGGGTCAGACGCAAAATGTCCCTGTGTTGGATGTGGAAAGTGAGGAAGGGGCAGGAACCCACGAGAATGGTCATCAGCCTGAGTTGATGGAAGTGGGCTTACTGGGGTGGGCAACCTGGGCTGTAGGCAGGCCAGGGTAAGACCCAGGTGTCCCAGATAAAACCAAGAGTTCTTTGAAACACATGTTACATTTGAGATGTGTCTGGAAATCTAAGTCAAAATGTCACGAAGGCAGTTGGATTTGTTATGTTGAAGCTCATATGAGAAGTCAAGGTGACTCCTACATACTTGGGTGTCATTGACCTTAAGGTATTCAAGAAGTGGATGTGATTTCCTGCAGAATGTAGACGAAGTGGAGACAGAACTCCCCAGACTATGTGTTGCAGAATCCCAGCACTGAGGGGTCAGATGGAGGAGAAGTCCATCAAGGAGGAGAACTAGGGGGTGCAGAGTCCTGGGGTTGGGGCGTGCCACCTGAGGGGACAGGTGAGGCTCATGTAGAGATGTCAGGGATCATGGCCATGGAGAAGTGCCTTGGGGATTTGGCACTAAGGAGGTGGTCCTCAAATTTCCTGAGGCATCACTTTGACCTGGAGACCTTGTTGAACTGCAGCTTGGGTCTGCGAGCCCGGAAGTCGATACCCTGCAGGTCAGGCATAAGGGCGGAGTGGGGAGGGCATATGCCTGCAGGTCAGGCATAAGGGCCACTGGCTGGGGCAGTGGCCACGGAGCCATGACGGGGGAGGGAGGGGTTGGTGGGGCTGGGCTGCAGCGGGAATACCTTCACTGTCCACTCCCTCGAGGGGGTCTGACTGTAGAGAGCAGCAGAGTGATGGGGCAGTCGCTGCGGTAACACAGATGGCATTGAGGCAGGTGTGATGGAGGTGGGAAGAGCTCAAGTGTGTTACAGGTAAATGAGAAGGAGCCAGAAGGAGGCAAAAGGTTGATGATGCAGGAACAGGAGGGCGATGCCTTACCATGGGCACAGGAGGGAGGGACATGGGGGTGGTTAGGGAGGTTGGTGGGTTTACTGGTGCAGAGAAGAGGGGCTTCCCTTCCAAGTCTTCTGTCTTCTCAAGAGAAACGGGACGGGAGATTTTCAACTAGATGTGAAGGCGAGGAGGGGTAGGGTGGCCTTGGGGAAGGACGAAGGAGGAAGTGGGCCTCCCAGAGAGATTGAACTGTGTCCCCAGCCCAGGGAGGTGTGAGGTCATAACTGTCACCAGCGCTGCCAGCCTGGTTCTATGACTTGCTTCAGCAGGGGTCACGGGGCAGGGGCAGGAGCGGGCCACAGTCTGTGGACAGCGGCACAGGGCAGAGGTTCGCCAGGACTGCGGTTCTGAGGGTAGAAAGCTGCAGAGTTGGTGTGTTTGCAGAAGTGTGATGGTTCGTGATCCTGGGGAGCCAGGGGGTCCCCGATGGACAGGGAGGTCGGGGAGGCTGCCCAGCACAGAGAGCGGTGTTCTGAAGAAGACCACATCCAGGGTGTGGCCAAGGGGGCCGCCAAGGGGGCAGTGGGAGAGGTCATGTTGATGACGTTTTAGGGGCATTGAGAAACCAGGGCTGGGGCCAGTCTTCCCTGTGGAGGCTGAGTCACTAAGGATGGTGGGAGCAGGGGTTGGGGGTCTGGTGGAGGCAGGATGGAAAAGGAGGTGGACTTTGAGGCTCTTGGGGAAGGCACTGATGTTGGCTGAGCTCTGGTGGAGGGTGGAGGGGACTGGGAGGGAGTGGCCGAGGCGGGGGGAACAGCGTTTGCAAAGTGGGGAGGCCAGGGACAGGTACAGAGCATTGGAGGAGCTGAGGGGTGAAGCAGAGGTCGGAGGTGGGGGCCAGGCTGCATGGGGCTGGCTCCGAAGCCCTGGCTTGGAATTTGGTCTTTATTCTACCAGGAGCACGGCTGGGGGGTGGGGCAGCGGGGGGGTGTAGAGAAAGGAGGGAGCCGTCTGAGCAGACTCTTGTGGTGGAAACATTTTGTGATTTCATGCCCCTCATGCTGGCTTCCACTGCCTCTGTTTGCAGACCCTCCCAACCCCCCCCCAAACCCCAGGGTCTCTGTGGTTCCCATCAGCCACACTGCATCACGCAGACAAACAGACTCAAAACTGGCCATGGCGTCGAGGGGGGTGACCGAGGCCCCGCAGTGCCAGGACAGGCCTGATGACCCATTGGGTAGGCCTGGTGTTGTAGGAACATGTCCAGGGTCTGGGGCCAAGGGTGGGCAGTTTAAAGGGGACATGGTGTCCTGGTTCCTGATTTCCTGCCAATTCCTGAGAAGGTCTGAGATCCCAGTCCAAAAACCCCTTCTCCCCTGTGTTGAATTAAGAGCGCACTCGCCTTTGAGCTGAACTCTGCTCTCACAGGGGCCCTCTCCTGGGCTCCATGTGCTTCTCACCTGGCCCTTCTCCCTCAGGGAGATTACAGGCGGACTGAGGGGGGGTGCCCTGAGAGGAGGACTTGGAGTCCCCAACCCCCAGCCCCCCATGGTGGAGAGGGGCTCCTTTACTTCTCCTGCCGCCCCCCCCCCCCCCCACTGAGCTCTGACCTGTACGGCATCCATCCCCTGAGAACCCTCCACTTTCCCTCTCCTCCTTCCCCTGCCACATCTGTTTCCCGTCAGGCTCCAGCTGCAGCTCCCCTGCCCCCCAGGAGAAGAAAACACTGAAAACACTGAAGGGCCTTGCCTCCCTGCTGGGGGTGGGGACAGCCCTAGGTTGATCTATCCCAGCAGCTGGAGGTTTTCCTTCACTGGAGAGGAGTAGTCCTGACAGCATGCCCCAGCTCCTCCACTCAGCGGAGCCCGGACCCGTGGAGGGCAAGGGCACAGATGGGGTCATGGCCAAGGAGGAGGGGTGGTGAGGATATGGCAGGGATATTTCCCCGGGGACTCAGCTAGCTCCCCTGCCCGCCACCCGCCCCCAGTCCTCCATAGTATTAGCGATAGCAGCAATAAGTCATTGTGGGAATACTGGTGGACACTGCATGTAATTATCCTATTTACTCTTCACAACCCCTTATCAAGTACGTACTCTTATTTACCCCATTTTATAGAAGAGGAAGTTGAGGCACAGAGAGGTTAAGTAGCTTCTAGAGGTCACACAGCCATTATTAAGTCTTGCAGAGCTCTTTATGACCATAAAGTGCTTTAAGGCAGTCGTCTCATTTCCTGCTATCTCTGTCACGCACACTCTCTAAGTGTTCTTAACCTTCCGCCCAGCTTACAGAAGGGGGCGTTGAGGTTCTAGAGCAGAGAGCTCTTATCCAACAGCCCTGGGTTGATAGGGGAAGCTGCAGGCCCTTGGGCAAGACCCTTACTGTCTTGGAGCCTCGGTTTCCTCATCTGTAATATATGAGGATAGTAATAGGCTCCTTGTAGCGAGGTTGTCGGTTAGGTGGTACGGTCTGCATGGCCATGCTTTGTGGAGTATAAACCATGGGGGCGGGGGTGGTGTGGGACCTGCCTCTTCTGGCCTCTCTGGCCCCACCCAGAAGACTGGTTCAGGGGGGTACCCTGGCTAGCATGGAGAGTTGGGGAGGAGAGCTGGAAACCAGGCCAAGTTTGACCTAGGGGAGGGGAGACTTGAGGACTGCCCCTCTCAGACGTGTGGGAGCCCCTGTGTGGCAGTGATGATGAGGGGGAGGGATGGGGAGCCAGATTTCAGCTCCAGGTCAGGAAGCCCTTGTTAGAGCCAGGCAGCTTGGCTGGCAGGGAGCTCCCAGCCCTGGCTTGCAGGCCATGCCATGGGCTGCTGTCGGTCTTCCTGAGATGCCTGGGAGAGCAGGTCCAGGGGCCTTCCTGGGCCTCTCAGCTTGGAATCACGGCTTCAGTGCCCCTTTCCCTGGTGGTGCCCCCCCCATCAGTAATTACAACAAACAATGTGAGGAGCTCTGCTCTGCTCTTTCTTTTCATTGAGTTGTAACAACAACCCCATGAGAAAAGTGTTGCCAACGTCCCCTTTTACAGACGGGGAGATGGACAATCAGAGGGGCCAGGTGGCTTGCCCAAGGTCACACAGCTTGGAGATTGTTCAAGCCCCTGTCTGACACAAAGCTAAACTCTTCCTCCTCTCCCCTGGCCAGGAAAGCTGGTCTTGTTAAGGACCCTTGGACGAGGCGAAGGCTCCTATCCATTTTGCAAGCCTTCTCTGGGTGGCTTTAGGCTTAGAAGCACATAGATGTGTTTTGTGACCCTCGGACCTTGGACCTTGGCCTTCCGTCATCTCTGTGCTCTCCTCCTGGAGGTTTGGGGCTCTTCCATTTCCCAGACTGCTCTCAGTGTCTGCTTCGGACTGGGGATTGCATGACGGGCCCGAAAAGCCCGTGTACTGCTTTGGGGAAGATTACAGTCTGCCCGTGGCTTCCCTCCAGGACCATCTCCGGTCACAGCCACT